AGCCCCCCCCCCCCCAGCCTATGATTGGCCAAGAGGCCCTGGTGGCCCCACCCCTCACCGCTGACTGGCAGAGAGGGGCAGGGTCACACAATGGGCAACCCACTCAGCCAATCAAGGGCAGGGGTGGCTATCATTGGCTGCTCCCCTTCACACTGGCAGCTTCCCACTGTCCCCCTCCTGCCCGGCTGGAGAGCCAGTGTTTTATTTTTACGGGGGTGGGGGGGAGTTTTCTTCACAGATTTTGCAGACAATGCCCAATTTCATGGATAATGCCCGATTCTGCAGTTTCCACGAAATCGCCAATTGAGTACGACTTGAACTATCGGAGTTCAGGAGCTGCCCAAGGCAATGACTACGTAGAAGCCATTTGTATCCAACCAAGATTCAGCATCTGAATGTCAGGGATGGGCAGAAGACATTCGTTGCTGCACTGTATTTGAAATGAATTGATGATTTTAGTCCCTTATCTGAAAGCCTGCAACACAAAACTGCACATGGTCACCCTTATTGCTTAACTTCCCCCAAGAATTAATGTCTTTGGAGACTGATTCTGGAAACCATGATGCAGTGTTCCAGGACTGCTGAGGCCTGAGCAGTGATAAGATCCACTGAATGAAGAAGAGGCATGGCTTCTTTGTACCCAGGTTTGCTGGCCTAGCAAGGAGAATTTTAAACTAGCTTCAACAGGGGATGGAGACGACAGCTCACAGATAAGTAAAAAAAACCCGATGACCCAGATAAAGATCTCTGGAGAGGAGGCAGAAGAGAGAATCTTAGCAAGGCAATAAGCTAGTCAGAAAAAGATGCGTATATACTAATGCAAGGGGTATGGGCAGGGAGCAGGATGAACTGCATCCTAGTAGACAGTCCACACAACTGGAATACTGATATGGATGAGTGCTGCTTGTTCAGGAAGGCAGACAGAAAAAAAGAGACAACAGTGCATTGTACATTGAAAGATACATATGTACATATACATATATAGTTGTTCCGAGATATGGAACAAAGAGAGAAGTAGACCTGCTGACAGCCCCTGGGCTCAGATAAAAGAGGAAGACAGGAAGGGCAATGTCATGATGGATGGATGCTCAAGACCACCGTACCAAGGAAGAGGAGGAAGACAAGAGTTTTTTTAAACAACTAATGGAAGCATCCAAATCATAGGAACTAGTGTTTCTGGGAGACTTTAATGATTGTCATATCTAGTGCAAGGTGCAAGGGTAACATGGCATTGCACACAACAATCCAGCAAATTCTTGGGGGACAACTTTTTGGTGCAGATGGAGGGCAAAGGAAACTCTCCCATTTACTGCTTTCTTAAAAAGGAATGAGTTGAGAATGTGAAGGGTGAAGGCGAGGTGGGCAACAGTGAAATAACAAAAGGATGAAACCATCCTAAAGAAAGGAAGAACAGGATAAAAATATTGGACTTCAGAAAAGCGGACTTTAACCAAGTCAATAAGAAAGGCAAAAGAGCATGCTACCCTTCCGTAAAGAAAGGACAGAAGACGTAGCAAGAGACTAGCAGAGCTGAACAGCAGGTTCCTCCACAACTTGAAACAGAAAAAGAAATCTTGTTAAAAAAAAGTAGCAGCTATTTGGCAACTAAAGAAAAGTACGAGAGTAGAGCACAAGACGACCATGGCGCGAGCAAACACGCAGCCAGCAAGGTACAAGGGGACAGAAGCGGTACTGAAAGAGCATTCTGTAAATGAGTTAGGAGTAAGAGAAAGGCAGAGAAGTGTGGGCTCTGTACTGAACGGGGAGGGGACGCTAACAAGGGATAATGCAGAGAAGGCTGAAATGTTTGGTGCCTTTTTTGTTTTAGTCTTCACGGAGAAGGCTCACGATCTGATGACAAGCAGTTTACAGCAGTGATACAGGGTAGTTAATAAGTCTTGCAGTGATTACTCAGAAAAACTGGGTGTTTCTAGTTAGCAGGGGCAGATGAGATCTGGCCTAGAGTACTCAAGGAATTAGCTGTGGTCATTGCAAAGCCACTGGTTACCACTTCTGAGAACTCACGGAGGTTGGGTGCAGTCCCCACAGACTGGAAAAGGACAAATATAGTGCCCATCTTTCTCAAAGGGAATAAGGAGGCCCCATGGAATTACAAACCGATCGGTCTAGACTCAATACCCAGAAAGATGCTGGAGCGTAACAAAGAACCAGTTCTGAGAACCTAGATGATAACAAGGCGATAAGGAAGAACCAACACGGATTTGTCAAGAGCAAGTCTGCCCTGACCAACTTGATTTCCCTCTGTGACAGCACGACAAGCGTAATGACTGGGAAGAGGGCAGTGGGCAGAATACACTTTGGCTTTAGCGCTCTCCAAGTAAGCTGAAGCTCTGGATCTAAGCAAGTGCCGAGTTGGAAAATCATCCTCTAAGAGTGGCCATCAAATGGGTGGAGGTGTCCATCTGGGAGGAGATATCAGGTGGGGCTCCCTATAGTCTGCCCCAGATCCAGCACTGCTCAGTATCATAACTACTTATTTGGTGGGTGGACTTGCGTGCACACTGAAATTTGTGGCTGACACCATGGTGAGTGACAGCACACGCTTTAGAGGACAGGTCTTGGATTCGAAATTGGAAAAATGACCTGGAATAAAATTGGATGACGTTCAGTAAGAACATATGCGAAGTATAACACTTAGGATGGAACGACGAAATCACAGATCCAAAATGAGAAATGCCTGGCTAGACTGAAGAAGTGGATCTGGGGGTTAGTGGTGAATGGTGAGCTAAGTCACCAGTATAATGTTGCAAAAAGTGAATACTCCCCCTCAGCTTTCTCCTTTCCGAAGTGGAGAGTCCTAACCTTCCGAGTCTCTCCCGGCGTGGCAAGTGCTCCCTGCCCCGATCATTCTGGTTGCCCTTTCCTGTACCTTTACTAATGCTGCTACATCCTTTCTGAGACATGGGGACCAGACCTTCACGCTGTTCAAGACATGGGGGCACCATGGATTTGTATAGTGGCATGATGATGTTTTCTGTTTTGTTTTAAGATTCTGTATGTGCCACTTAAGAAACCTATATGATTTCAACATTTTTCTCTCTAGTCTCATATAGGGCACCTCTTTAAAAGGGGGTAAGTGATGTATGTTGGCCCTGAATTTTACTTCATTCCAATTACCAAGGTGCAGTCATAAAACCATTCTAACATGACATCCTGAACTGGAAATGATCTGGGTTAGACAGCTTAGCCTTCAGAGTTTTATGTAACCTAGCAAACCACCTAGCACCGTACTGATGTCTGTTCAGAGCACAATTCCTTTGGAAGAAAGACACAATTAAAAGCCTTAGACATGTAGAATGTGAACTGATATATTCTTACCTTGTCTGGTGAATGAATATCATCTTGAAATAGTTTGAAAAAGCAGCAAGCACAGCTCTGTGAGCTTTGAAGTAGACATCTCCAATGGCCACTGTACAATCGCACAAAAATCCAAACTCACGTTGTGTGTTCAACTGCTGCAGAAGAACAACACTATGGCTAGTCATATCCATGGTGTTTCTAAAAGCAAGAGTGAAAAAAAAAAGTGTTTCACTAAAATTCAGAACTGCAGTGCTACCTGATTCAGTTAAAAGTGCATAGTGAGCAGGACAAACAGCATTTGAAGATACTGTGGATTCTCTGAAACAGTAAGTCAACACCCTCCAGATGGCACGTGCAGCACAAACTGATACCATTAGGTGCGTCCAAAACCTATTTTATTACGAACACAAGAAGTGGCATGCTGGGTCACACCAACGGTCCATCTAGCCCAGTCCAGGCTCCGGCAGTGGCAGAAGTGGATGCTTTAGAGGGCAAGCACTGAACTGGATCCATCTAGAGTAATCTATCCCCCTATTAATTACCCTCCCTGGCATTTTTGGTTTAGAGATGCCAGAAGAAACATCTTCAACTGTTCTGTTCAACAGCTATTAACAGATCTATCAGCCATGAATGTGTTTAGTTTAAACCCGGCTATGCCATCGGTCTCTGCCACCTCCTGTAATAGTGAGTTCCACAAGTTCGCTGTGGGCTGCATAAAAAAGTACTTTCTCTTGCTAATTTTTAAACTGTCACCTACTCATTTCAGTGGATGCCCCCTCATTTTAGGATTCTGGGCCTTGGTGAATAACTGTTCCCTTTTCACTTTGTCCACATCCTTCATGATTTTCTAGACCTTTATTGTATTCCCTCTCAGCCGCCTTCTTTCCAAACTGAGGCCCTAGCCCTTTCAGTCTCTCCTGGGATGGCGACTGGACCCCTGATCATTTTGATTGCCCTGCTTTCTACCTTTTCTAATTCTACTACATCCTTTTTTGAAATGTGGAGACCAGACCTGTACGCAGCATTCAAGACGTGGGCACACCAGGGGTCCAATTGTATCATGACATGATGCTCTTCTTAGTTTTGTTTTCAATTTGCTTCTTAATGATGACCAACATTTTTCTGGGTTTTTGTATCTACCGTGACTCCCGGGTCTCTTTCCCGAGTCAGAACAGCTAGTTCAGAACCCAGTGCGGAGGTTATTTGTCCCCGTGTGCGTTATCTTGCACTTGCCAACACTGAAGTTCGTCTGCCATTTTTCAGCCCACTCACTTGGCTTGGCAGCTCCTCTCCATCACCCGGGGATCTGACTACCCAGAATAATTGGGTACCATCTGCAAACTTGGAGATTTCACTGCGCATGCACCCCCATTTCCAGATCACTGATGAAAATGTTGAACCGAAGTAGGCCTACCAAAGATCCCTGCGGGACTCTAGTTTTGACCTCCGTCCATCCTAAAGGGTGACTAGTCAGCCCTACTCTTTGCCTCCTACCTTTTAACCAGCTCCCAACCCATGCAGACACTTTCCCTCCAATCCTGGGGTTTTTTTAAGCCTTTGTTGAGAGACCTTGTCGAAAGCTTTTTGGAAGCCCAGGTATGTCAGCTGGATCCCCCCATCCATGTGCTTATTAACCCCCTCAAAGAACTCCAGCAGATCGGTGATTTCCCTTTGCAAAAACCATGCCGACTCTTCCCCATCAGATCTTATCTGTCCATATGCCTGATTTTATTCATTATGATAGATTCTTCCCTGGACCAACTCTTTTTAAAGGCGGGTGTTACATTGGCAACCTGCTAGTCCTCTGGCACAGAGGCTGTTTGTAAGGGTAGGTTACATATTACTGCCAACAGTGCTGCAATTTCACCTTTGAATTCCTTCAGAACTAATGATTCCTCAGTTTCTTTATGGTGTGCAGAAACTCAAAGTTATTTCTAGTAAACGGAAGCATTTCACATGAAAACTCTGAAGTTAATCCATTGTAAAGATGCTGGGAGACCTGAGCACCGCTCGCCCCTTTTTGCTCTGCAGCAGTGTGTCACTACCTCCCTCCTCCCACGTACTCTGATCCCAGAAGCAGCCCAGCCTCGATTACAATGATCAGCGTGCGAGAGAAGAGGACTGTGAAGGCCAGTTTCACGGGAGCGGAGATGCGCAGGCCAGTGATCTCACACCCAGTGCTATAAGGGGACCCAAGGAAAGAACAACGATCCCAGGCCACGACTCAGTTTCCCTTCTGCCTCCTGAATTGGGCCTGGGACGGAGGATGCTCACCAGGTGTAGCGCCATACACGGCGTTTAGAGAGTTTGAGTTCTGCCTGCTCAATCGATACGGTTTTTGGAACAACTGAGTTCTGCTCAATCAATAGGATTTGGAACGGATCTGAGCTGGAATACAAAACATATTAATTTTTCAAAAATTGGCCAAGAGATTCTTATCAAAGAGGAATGGGCAGAAATACAGGAACCTGAACCTGTGTTGTATAAAACTCCCCCACACACAGGCAAGGGGATGGGAGTCTGGAACTTGCGTCAAACCCTGGGCCCCGAGACACGGCCACCCAGCGAGTACGCGCATGTATTTTCTGCGGTGCGTCGCTGCTCTTGTTAATACTGCCTGGCTGACAACGTCCCAGTAAGCCAGTGCATCGGCTCGAAGAACTTGCTTTGGATTCTCTTGTACTCCTAGGGATAAAATACAAGCCTCCAGAGACACCGCGGGTGTGACACAGACACGGCTGTAATTGCACCACACACACACACAGGCGTAGGAGCATGCGTGCCTATCATCATCCCGGCACAGAAGAAAGACTACACCGCTGTACTACTGCGACACGTCCACGGTGCCACAAACAGCGATTCCTACACCTGTCCTTGCAACAGAACTTTTACGGAAGAAAAACACTGTTTATCTCCCAACACTACATTTGTTTCATCTGAAAAACTTTAGGGAAACTTAAGGCCAAGCAAGAACTGATCTCTGACAATATTTAAACGCACCCCCCCCAAAAAAGAGCCAGCCCACAAGCAGATTCTTTCATTAAGTTGCCCCAAAACCTCCTGTATGGAAATGCAAAGTAAAGGTTTACAATAGGCAGGTTGGCTCTATTATTTCCATAGTCAAACTCCAAGACTGTTCAATGCCTGTAATAAGCAACAAAGGTCCGCGGCTGTAGAGAGGCGGCCTCAGAATCGCTGGAACCGCAGGGATGGGTAACAAGACACAAGTCTGCTAAAAAAGTTGGAGAAAAGTAGCAAATAGGCGCAACCAGCTGAGAGCGGACAAAGCTCAGCAGCGTCTCTCGCAATACCTCGCCTGGCAGGGGCGCACCGCTGAGACCTGCGCCTCGGTGCCCCTGGAAAGGGCCAGTCGACCCCGGCGGGCGGGCGGCGCAGGGACCCCCCCGGCCCGGGGCGACACGCAGCTTCTGGGCGCCGCTTGCAGCCGAGCTCCTCCCGCTCGCGGGGCAGGGCAGGGCAGGGCAGGCGCCTCCCGTCCGGCCCGAGCCTGCGGGG